GTGGACTTGTTTGAATTTTGTTCAGCTTCATCTTAAACTTGCATAGGAGCAATAGATGGTCTGTTCCACAGTCAGCCCCTGGCCTTGTTCTCACGGGTGATATTGAGCTTCTCCATTGTCTCTTTCACAATTTGATTCCTGTGTATTCCATCTGGAGAAGTCCACATGTATAGTCACCACTTTTGTTGTTGAAAAAAGGTATTTGCAATGAAGAAGTCATTGGTCTTGCAAAATTCTCTCCTGGAATCTCTGGCATCATTTATATCACCAAGGCCATATTCACGTGCTTATTGACCTCTTTTTGTACATCTTCTTTGGAGAAATGTCTATTCAAGTTCTTTGTCTTTTTTTTTTTCTGCCCACTTATTGATTGGATTGTTTGTCTTTTTGTTGATGGTTGTTCCATAGATTAGGTTTTATTATTGGCATTTTATAGCGAGACCACAGGTCTTGCGCAAGGGCCCGCAGGTGGTAAGTGAATGAGCCACAGAAGGACCTAGCCTCCTGCTTCCTAGTCTAGTGCATTCTCCTCTTAACTTTGACATTCAAGAATTCAGGAATACTTTTTGGATCATGGCTGGACTGAAACATACATTTCTGGAACACGTTATAATTATTCGATCAAGTAAACCACCTCATACAACTCCTCTCATACATTTTCATGTTCACCTAAAAAATGCGAAGATCCAAAGGAAAAACCATACTAGCTTTAGTTAATCAAACCCCTTCTCAGAGAAAATTCTTCCAGTGTCTACCACACTCTGTCCTTGGAATCTTCCAGCAGGAATACCAGCAACTCTCCTTCATTTCTTAGCGCTCTCCCAGGGAAGTTGTTGATGTGGTCAAAAGGAAGGAGGGAAGTGAAAATTCCAAAAGGAGCATCAATGAGCCAGAAAGGAAGGGCATTCTTGGGACCTCACAGCTGGAACAGTGTTCCTTACGGGTGGATGCTGGGAGTTTAAGAAGTGCAAGCATTCAGGGAATGCATTACACTTGAGGATTCAGGTTTCCTATCCTCATGCGGCCACTCTGAGCAAGCTGAGGGCACTTACCACAATGAATGTGTGTGCGAGTTTGGAGTTTGAGCTCCATATGGATCTGAAAGAAGGTGGGTCCATGCAAGTTTGTGGGGTCTCTGCTTTGTGCCCAGCACTGAGCTGGGCCCAGTGGAGGCTATACAGGAAGGAAGGCTACAACCTGAGGACCTTCTGTCAAGTTGAGAACACATGTTGAAGACCAGAATCCATTCAGGAACTCTGGGGTTATAGTGCCAATTGGAGGTTCAGGCCTAGAGCTGGCAGGATCTTGGGGTTAGGGAAGATTCCCGGGACACAGCTTCATTGTGGGTACCAGCAAGGGCCAGAGAAGGAGGCTTGGCCTTGTTCCTCCCCACAGGGCTGCTCATCATGAGCACAAGGAAGGGAGGGAGGCCTTACTAGTCACTCCAGAAGGGAACCACCCCATCTGGCGCTGTAGTGCTGGCGGATGTGGGAGAGGGTGGACAGGGCAGCCTGTGAGTATGGTGAGTAAGGGGGGTGGAGGGCGGTATTTTCACTAGAAATTACTAGGGATCCTCGATTCATCTGGGATTAAAAAGAAGACTACACAGTTCCAAGTGGCGTCTGCCAGCCATGGGCCACTCTGCCCGCTCAATGTCCACCATTTTCTGACCAGCTCTAGGAGAAAGAGGCTGAGAAAGGAAGCAGCGCTTTGGCACAAAGAAAAGCAGAAGTGTGAGTCTTGGAGATTTGGCCCTCCCTTCTTGGGGAGGGCTGAAACCTGGTATCCAGCTGGGGCCCAGGCTATTTCAGCTGACACCTGCCTTCGAGGAATGACCCAGCGGGACAGGGCTGTGTGGCTGCTTTCAGTTCTGCTGCTTCTCTGGGTCCCAGGTGAGAGGGCATCCTGGACTGAAACTCTGGTGGGTGGGAGGCAGACAGGGTGTGTGACAGGAAGGAGGCAAGGGAGGTGTCACATGAGGCACCCCAAATCTGGACTCTGACAGAAATCTGTCCACTGCTGAAGGACTGCACCCCTGCGAGTGAAAGGATGAGGGCCTCCATCCTCACCCACCGACCTAGGATGAGACTTGTGGGGCATGGGCACAGGGATGGATGTGGAGGAGGGAATTTGTGGGAGGTTCTCAGAGGAATCATTATAGGAAGAAGGAAGGTGAGAGGCAAATTGTCCTCTAAGTGGTGGGAGAGTGGTAGCTCAAGGCACCTGAGGGGCATGTGTTTTGGGGGAGGCACCCTCCCCATGGTTCTCTTGTTGCTAGGTGTGGAGGAAGCATGGGGAATGGGGACAAGCCAGCTGTGGTCTCAAGGACATGGAGATGTAGCTGGAGCAGCACAGGGGCTGACTGGTGCCTGAGCAGGGAGGAGCCCTGACATAGGTTTGGCTGGTGACTGCCCCTAGGTGGGCCTGAGGGCCAGGGTTAGTTGTCTCCAAGGAGGAGAGATGGAGATGGAGGGGAGATGGAAAGGTGATGGGGGAAAGAAGGGGAGAGAAGGAAAACTGTGGGGAGAGAAGGTGGGAGCGTTTCTTTGGTGAGAACTCACAGGGTGGAGTCTTCCTTCCCAGGGATTCAGCTTCTGGGCCCTCAGCCATGACAGCTTTCCTCTCACAGGCCCTGCACTTTTCTTGTTAGGTTTACTCCTGGGATATCTAAAACCTTTCTGGTTGTTTTTCTCATAAATTGGCTGTTTTTTCTATTTTATTTGCTAACTAGTTGTTTATAGGAAATCTATTAATTTTTGTATGTTGATTTGGAAACCAGTCCTCCTCCTACTCTCAGCTTTTCCATTGATTCTCTTGGGATTTCACATGCTTTGCATGCACGGAGAGTTTGTGTCCCTCTCTGATATTTATTTCTTGTATTTCTTTCTCTCACTGAGAGAGATGTCCCCCGGAATGACGCCCAGTGCTGTGATGATAGTCCTCATTCTTGCCTTGTCCCCGACTCAGGGGAAAGTGCCCAGTGTTTCCCAGTAAGTCTGAAGGAGGTGTCCATTCACGTCTATTTATGAAGGGTTTTTAAAACACCAGGAACAGGTGTTGGGTGCCTTCTCAGTATCTATAGAAATGATTTTTTTTTTCTCCTGTGAACTATTAAGAGATTTGGCCAGACTTTAGTCTCCATATTTTATGCGGATATTATGAAAAGAACTAAGAAAATTCCTCGATTTCTATAGTCTCTGCAAATGTATGAATAAGTTGGGATTGTTCCTTGACAGTTTAAAATAATTAATTTGTGAAACTGCCTGAGTTTGCCGCTTTTTAGAGGAGAATTTCTTGATACTGTTCATCTTTATTTGGTCTACATAAAATATATATATATATATACATATATATATTCTGGGCCAATTTTGTTAATTCATATTTTCCTGGAAAATCATCAGTTTCATCCAAGGTTACAAACTTATTTGTAAAGTCTTACAACTTACCCTGGTTATTTTTCTTTTGAATTGTGTATTTGTGTCTTCTTCATTTTTTGTCTTTTTTAACTTGGCTACCCACTGGTCTGTCTGTATTATCCTTTGCTCCTACCCAAAGAAAAGTTAGTTTTCAATATATGCATTAATTCCACTGTTTTCATGTTTCCTAATTCACCAGTGTCTGCACTAGATTTACCCTTTCTTCCCTTCTCTGCTGGGTGTCCTTGCCAACTTCTTGAGTTGAACGATTAGCTTGTTTACCTTCCAGTTTTCTTGCTGAGTGATGGGAGATGAGACTTTGGGATCCTAACAACATTAAGACACCAGAGGAGCATCCCACAGAGGAGTTACAGAAATAGTGAAAGTCCTAGCCCAAGAATGGCCTCCAGTCTCCCGTGTTTAGGTTCAGCGAGATTGGGGAGGAGATTTGGTAAGAGCAAGTGAGAGAGAGCACAGAAAGGCCAATTAGGAGGCTTGTAAGTAAGTGTTATTGTTCCAGGTAAGTGGGGAGACGATACTGACATTTTTCTGACATCCTCCCTATCTCTACAGTATAAGGAAGGACACCCTCACAGGTGACATAGAATCCTTTGGGAGTCCTGGTGATATTTTTACCCTTAAAATTTCAGGTGCAGGGTGTCCTCAAAAGAGGGGTTTATTTTTGTTGCTTGTAAGTTGAAAAAAGTCAATCACGAGAGAGAGAGCGCAACCAAAGAGAAGTCAGACCCTTGAGACAGAAGAGCAGACAGGAAGCTGTGGGCAGGAACAGTGGGTCACCCAGTTCAGGCAGAGGAGCCAAAACCTGGCAAAGAAAGATGACAATTACACCCAAGGAGACGTAGGGAACAGAGTTGTGACCAGGAACAGCATCCTGGGTGAAGGAGTGCTGGGACTGACATTTATTTAGTAAACACTTAATGTAGGTCAATTTTAGGAATTCTGTTATTCTAGAAACCCATACATAAAACCAAGTTTGTAAATGTATTTGCGGAGAATTTCTGCAATGTACTGTCTTGATTCCTTTGATTTTCTCTGTATTTGTGGTTATTTTCTCTTTCATTTCTAATTTTATGTGTTTGTGTTTCCTCTCTCTTTTTTTCTTTTGGCTACTCAGAGGGTAATCCACTTTTGTTACATTATATCATGTGACATTCCCGATTTTTGGATTCAAAAACAATTAAACATCAGCAATTTCATACGGTTTAACCTAATATTATTTGGCAGGCATTTTACGTCCATTATCTCATTTAACACCCCCAAAAGCCACGTGAGATGGGCACAATCTTCATCACTTTACAGATGAGGCATCTAAAGCCCACAGAGGGTAAGTAAATTGCCCCTGAACACACAGCTGATATGTAACAGAGCCAAGACATAAACCCAGATTCTTCTCATGCTGAAGTCAGGGTGTACCTTTGAACATCACCTTGGCACGCACTACCCAGACTCTCTGTAAAGGTCACACCCAACTCAGGGCTTGGAAGGCCTTATCTGTACCCCTCCTGCGAGCATCTGGACATCCTGGCCAGAAGAGGCTGTCCAGGGCCCCCAGGAGGGGGACTGATGGGAGCCTGTGGGCAGCTTCGGACAGCAGTCGAGGAGAGTATGGAGCCTCCGTGTTACAAGAGGCACCCAACACTGTTGGAGAAGCCCCGGATGAGGCAGGAACCTCACGGTGAAGTATTTATTGAGGGCCTCTGTGTGCCAGCACTTCTAGGCATTGAAGATATAACGAGGACAAGGCCCCACCCTCCTGGAGCTGACATTCAAGTGGTGCCAAAGTCTGCAAGTGAAGGGATTTAAGGACCTGAAGAAGCAAGTGAAATGAAATAGTTCTACCTCTGGAGAAGAGAACAAGCCACGTGATCACAGAATCATAAGGGCAGTGGGGAGCGGCACTCACAGCTGCCAGGGGCACCGGCCCCTCAGCTCAGGGCAGGGCTAGTGTCCTCTACCTGGGTGGCCAGCATCAGCTTCACACATATAACCTTACTGTCTGTGCTTGGTATCTGAGAGCTACTGGGGAAAAAGGCAGACATAAATCTAGGAAGGAAAAAATGAGCGCTCTTGACAATTAAGTCTACAAGAGCTGGGCAAACTAAGTAAGACGCAGGATGAGATAAAGATTGTCAGCAGTAAAACTTCCGTGTGTGTGAATCGTTTTTGTTTCGTGCTCTCTCACTGCTCATTCTTGCACAGGATATTGGCGCTCTCCAGCCTGCATCTTTATCTCTATTAGGAGTGATACAACCTTCCAGGGCTCTACAGCTTTGGGAACTATGACAAGTTCATTTAAATTTTTTGTGCTTATGGATCCTTTTTGGTCCCAAGTTTTATCAAGTGTGTCCAGCATTTTTGTGAAATGGATTTGGCAGCCCTGCCTGTGCCCAGGTTTCTATCCCTTGCTGGGAGCAGATTGGTGTGTGGGCTGTGAAATGCTAGGGGTGGTTGTCAGATCTGGGGTGGCCTTTCTGGTGAGAGCAGGGTGCTTAGAGGAGGGACTTCTTATAGTCCTGGTGAGTTTGGAAATGGAATGAGTGAAGAAGATGGGAAGGGGCAGCAGGAAAGGAGATGGGTCTGGAGGAAGGGGCTACTGTGATCAAAATCTTGGTGTTGGAAGAGTGCCAGAGGTGGACACTCAAAATGTGTTGAGGAGGGGCTGATATAGAGTGGGGGGAAGAAGCATCAGAAAGCCTAACCCCCGGGGCACTGCTGACCCAGGCCTGTCCTGGTGCGGAGCGTGGACTCGGCTTGTTTTCCAGGATGCGTGACGCTGAGTGGCCCCAGCACCGTAACAGGCGTTGTGGGGGAATCTCTGAGCGTGCAGTGTCAGTATGAGGAGAGAGTCTAGGAAAATGACAAATACTGGTGCAGACGACTGATTATTAGGCCATGTGTCAAGATTGTGGAGAACAGAGGGTCAAAAAGCAAGAAGATGAAGGGCGGATGTCCATCAGGGACCATCCTGCCCTGCTTAGCTTCATAGTGACCATGAGGAACCTCACAGTGGAGGATGAAGGCACATACTGGTGCGGGATTGCTCTAAAATGGCTCAAAGATGGAGCATATCCGTTTGATCCTGCCTTCCAGGCGGTGGTGTCTGTGTCCCCAGGTGAGCCCCTGCCCCACAGCAGCACCAGGGCTGCCAGAACAAGCTCAGGTCAGAATGGCTGGGGCAGGTCTCAGGTCAGAGACTTGAGGAGAACTATGCGTGCGTGTGTGTTTGTGAGTGTGTGTGTGAGTATCTGTGTGTGTAAGACAGAGGGAGAGAGAGAGAGAAGTCCCAAGAGCAATCTGCCTTGCCCTGACTTGTAGCCATCTCAGTGGGCCTGGGAGGTACTGAAGCAGGTGGGGTGGGGTGAGTGAGGCGGACCTGAGTTTGAGATCCCAAGACAGTGGGGTCCTTGCACCTTCTGCCCCCACTGGAGCTGTGTGGGACAGGCCCACTCTGAAGGTCTCCCCATCATGTCCCTGGGCCTGGTCGTCATGGGGCCTCTGGCATCTTCTCTCCGGGACCAGCGGTCATACACAGATCAGCTGCCCAAGCTATGGAGGGGACATAGTGATGGGCCAGCCTCAGTCAAACCCGTGTCCTGATTGCTGTCTGATCCTCAAGCCCAGTCCCCCCCTTTCCCTCGGGCCACCTAGTTTAGCCTCGACTTCCTGGGCTGCCCAGGGAAACCCCACTTTCCTCTGGCTTTGTACAAACCGACTCTGTGAAGGGCCTGGCCACCAGCCCCAGTGTGGGCCCTGGTGCAGCTGCAACAACCATGGGGAAGGCTCAGCAGGTCCCTGCTGCCTCTGGGGCTCATTTGCCTCGTGGAGTATCCTTCACAGCACCTCCCTGGCTCCCTCCTCAACCTGGAATCCCCACCTGTGACAGTGAAGTGCTCGTCCATTGGGAAGTCTATTCAGCAACCCCATTTTCCAGGCCACTTCTCTATCATGTGCTGCCATTCAAAGGAGTCTCAGACACCATCGGTGGCCGAGTAGGGCAGAGAGTCTGGGAAAGGGTCCATTGCAGTACAGACAATGTGTCCTCAGACAGGAGGACACCCAAAGTACCACAGACTCCAGCAGGGGTGTCAGGACTCAGGGGGTGATTCATTGCCACGTGGTCGAGGAGGGCCTCCTGGGGGAGGAGCTGATGTCTCTGCTTAGTCTAGACCGAGGAAAGAAGGGTGCTGAGAGCTGAGCCTACAAAGCAGAGAGAGGAGGAGAGCCACCTGTGGTTAGCTCCCCAGAAACTCAGAGCATGTGGGGGATGGTTGAGAGCTAAGCAGAGGGGCAGGCAGGGCCAGACAGGGCAGGAGCTGGGCTCAGTGGGGACGTTAACCCTTGATATGCCAGATGTACAGCCCAGACGCACGACTCTGGCCACTGTGTGCTGTGCTCGGAGGGGACGAGACGGGGGTGGGAGAGAAGTTAGAGTTCTCAGCACTGCCTCACCTGCGTCAGCAGTATGGAATCAGGACTGTGGGCTTCCTGTGTCCTGCTTGGAAATGCTCCCTTGGCCCAGGGGGCCCTGGGGAGACTTTGGCCCCAGGCTCCTCTCTCCTGCCCCTTCCAATGTGAGCATGCTGTGTGAAATCAAGCCACAAAGGTGGTGAGCGGCGGGGAGGGTCAGAGGAGAGGTCCTGGGTCTGACGTGTGTTTTTACCACCAGCAGCAACATCAAGCACACCTACAAGTACCACGACTTCCACAACCACAACCGAAGGTCCACCTGTGCTGTCCACCACACTGACCACAGCGGGTGCCACCCACAGCACGAGCAGCCAGGAGAACTCCAAACAGAGCCAGAGCCTAAGGCAAGGTGCCCCAGTTCCCATGACCTGGAGGTGGGCCTTCTCGGTCTGGGCTGCCTCCCCGATGGTCGATGGTCATCCAAACATGGCCTAGATGAGGGTGGCACTCACATCCCTGCAGTTGGAATCTCTCAGCTCCCTCTGTCCCAGGCCAGGTTGGACGCCCCAGGCTCTGTATTCCAGCTTGTGTAGCTGAGGCCACACTGGACCTGCACTGGACTTCCAGAGAGGGCTCAGGCCAGGGAGAAGTTTGAATTGGGGTGGAAGGAATTACATTTAGTGAGAGGTGATGACATCCTACCTGGCCCATGCTAGGCGTGTTACATGAGTGTTCTCATTTGCTCCTCACTGCCACCTGCAGAGTTATTATCCTCATTTTACAGATGAGTAAACCGAGGCTCAGAGAGGCTGAGCGATTTGCCCAGGTGCACAGCTCCAAGAGGCAGGGCTGGGCTTCCAACTCAGGTTTATGTGACTCCAAAGTCTTGGATTCTTCCCTCTAAACCGTTGTTGGTCTTAGTTGCCATTGAGTTCATACCTACTAATGGCGACCCCACGTGTGCAGAGTAGAGCTGTGAACCTTCAGAATCAGATCACCAGGCCTGTCTTCTGAGGTGCCCCTGGGTGGGTTCGAACTTCCAACCTTTCAGCCAGTAAATAGTTGAGCACTTAACTGTTCGCACCACCCGGGGGCTTTTCTCTAAACAAGTGGCTCTTAACCTTTTTGGGGTCACCAACCCCAGGGAGAATCTGAAAAAATCTGTAGACTCTCTTCCTCTAAAAATGCCAGTGGTTATCAACCATTTCTGGGACCCACGGATGCTGAAGCCCTTCCCTAGGCTTCCTGCCAACCAGGAGGTACAGTCTTAACATCAGACATGGTGAAAGTCAGGCCCCAAACACGCCACTTCCAGACATTGACCCTGCAGATATTCACACACAGGAAAAGCTAGGTTTTATGGGGCCTGAAGCCTGTACAATTTAGGGGGGCATCTTTAATAAAAAGATTAGAAAATAATTAATACAAATTTAGGTATGAAAGAAGAAGCCCAATCCTAACACAAAAAAAAAGACCAGATTTACTGGCCTAAAGGAGACTGGAGAAACCCCGAGAGTATGGCCCCCACACGCCCTTTTAGCTCAGTGGTGAAGTTATCTCCGAGGTTCACTGTTCAGCCTGGGAGTGGACAGCCCTGTAAAACCAAATGAGACTAATGAGGTACAGGAGTCCAGTGACAAGGGCCAGAAGGCAGAAGGGGACAAGGAAGCTGGTGATAGGGAACCCAGGGTTGGGTAAGGATATTGTTGATGTGCTGTGAGATTGTTAACCATTGTCATAGGGCAACATTTGTAGTAACTGTTAAATGAGAAACTATTTTGTTCTGTAAGCCTTCATCTTAAGTGAGAATAACAGCACAACTGGAAGAGCGTAGTCAATGTCACTGAACTGTGCATGTAGAAATTTTTGTAATGGTGTATCTTTGGCTATGTGTATTTTCACCAAAAAAAAAGGTTGAGAAGTTAGAGGGTTGACATGTTGTGGGGTTGTTAACCAATGTCATAAAACAATATGTGTACTACTGTTTCATGAGAAGCTATTTGTTCTGTAAGCCTTCACCTGAAGTACAATAAAAAAAAAAAAAAAAAGAAGAGGCCCAAGCACGTGAAGTCCCCGAAGCTTAATCTTTATTAAAAAAACCCAAAGCTGTTACTGCTAAATCAATTCTCACTCATGGAGACCCCATGTGTTACAGAGTAGAACTGCTCCATAGAGTTTTCTTGGCTGCAATCTTCATGGAAGCAGACTGCCAGGACTTTCTTCATGGTGCTGCATGGTGGGTTCAAACTGCCAACCTTTAGGTTAGTAGCCCCATCACCAGCTGTTTGTACTACTCAGGGACTTCTAGCTTCATTATCTTCACAGTAAATCACTACTGCTTATCCAAGTATAAAATGGTGAGGGGACAAGGTTTCTTACTGCAACAGTGTTTGCTATCACGAAAGATAGGTGGAAATTTTTAAGAAAGAATAGTTTAAAAATTTATGGCACAATCCATGCAACGGAATAATACACAGCTGTGAAAAAGAGCAAGGGACTTCTTTATTTCCACTGATGTGGGAGATCTCCAGGATGTGTTGTTATGATGTAACACCAGAATACAAGTAGTCCTGGACTTATGACATGTTCTGTTCCAACGACCCCGTCATTTGTCGATTCTGATTAAGTCAAATAAACCTTTTTTTTTTTTTTTTAGTTTTCATTGTTATTGCCTTTTATTATCAGTATCTTTATAAATCCGATCGTTACTTGTCTTTAGGGGTTGGAAACATTACATATAAACTTACAGGTATATTTTAATACATATATATTATTAACAATAAGATGTACAAAAAAAGACGGTCAACAGTGTGGTTGTTGCAACTCAAATATGTCGTAGGTCGGGGACTACTTGTATGTATACTATACCTGCCTTTGTGTGAAAAAAGGAGGAAAATAATGTATATATCTATTTGCTTGTATATAAAAAGTCCCTGGGTGGTGCAATTCCACACCTAATTGTTTATGTCCTAGTAAGTGTAGGGGCACTCAGATATTGGGGTACAGTGGCACATATTCAGGTCTCACCTGGATCCCTGGGTCTCCCCTCACATCATCCCCACAGCCGGGCCCCTCCTCATGTCCCCAGGCCTAAGTTAAGGGGTGGAATGGCATTCCTTCCAGTGGGGCTGTCCTGTCCTCGGACCTGTCCAGGGTTGGTCCTGGTGTGGATTATTGTGGACACAGGATCTAGGCTCATGGACAAGGGGAAGAGGAGGCTCCAGTGCTTCCCCTCGAAGAAGGAGCTCATTGTCTGTCACTGTGTCCCCCACAGGTCCCTGCTCAGCAGCATCCACTTCCTACTTCGGTCTTCCTGAAGGTGCCCTTCTTCTTGAGCATGCTCAGTGCTGTCCTCTGGGTGAACAGGCCTCAGGGGGCCCTAGGGGAAGATGAGGTCAGCCTAACTATGAGAACCAGTAACCCTGGTGCCCAGGATACCCTGTCCACAGATCCAGACCCTCAGGTGGAATCAAAATGATCTCAGCAATAAGTCCTGTGGTGCCGTACAGGTTTCTATCAGAAAACTCTGTAATCTTTTTTGAAACTTTTTTCATGCAGTATGTCAAGCATATAAAGTAATATATCTGGTAAATAAGTATACCTTTAACAAAGAATATTCTTCAACACCTGTTTGCCCACCTTACAGATTAAGAAAGAGAGCGTCACTTTTACTGTTGTGTGTGTGTGTGTGAGCCTAACCTGAGATAGGAATCCATCTTCCTTTCTCCGTGTAGATACGCATTGTCCACAGTTACTGACAACTCCCTCTTTCCCCTATGGTCTGCTTTGTGACTTCTGACAGATATTGACTTCTATGTTTCTGTGGATCTTTTTCTGAGTTCTCTATTCTCTTTCGTTTGTCTATTTCCTTATTCCTGAACCAATGCAAACTTGTTTTAATAACTATAGATTTATTAAAAAGCCTTGATACCTGGTATGTCATGTCACCACATATTGTTCTTTTATATCAGTCATGTCTTTGCAAATATGGGCTCTTTCCTCTTTCACAAAAATTTAGAATTAGCCAGTCAAGTTTCTAAAAAAGAAAAAAGAAAAACTTTAGAGATTTTTAATGTAACTATATCAAATTCATCTTTATAATAATGAATTTTCCTATCTATGAACATAGTATGTGATTAGAGTTATTTTTGAGCTTCTTAAATGTCTTTTAATAATGTTGTATTATCAAGTCAAAAGAGAATCTACTGTCTGGGAAAAAAATTTTGGCCACGATACTTCCAACAAGGGATTAATCTCTAAAATTTATAGAAAACTTCAATATTTCAACTATAAAAAGACAAACAATCCAATTAAAAAATGGGCAAAGAGTATGAACAGACATTTCACCAAAGAAGACATTTAGGCTGCTAACAAATATATGAAGAAATGCTCGCAATCATTAGCAATTAGAGAAATGCAAATCAAAACTACAGTGAAATACAATCTTGCCCCAACATTACCAGCAATAAAAATAATATTTAAAAAATCAGAAAATAACAAATGTTGGTGGGGTTGTGTGGAGATTGGAACTCTTGTACACTGTTGGTTGGAATATAAAATGGTAAAACCACTACGGAAAACAGTATGGCACTTCCTCAAAAAGCTAGAAATAGAAATAGCATATGATCCAGCAATCCCACTCCAAGGTATATACCTTAAAGACATAAGAGCTGTGACATGAATAGACATATGCACACCCATGTTCATTACAGCATAATTCTCAGTAGCAAAAAGGATAGAAACAACCCAAGTGCCCACCAACAGATGAATGGATAAGCAAACCGTGGTATCTATACACAACAGGATAGTATGCAACAATAAAGAATAATGATGAATCCAGGAAACATCTCATAACATGTCACAAAAGGACAAATATTGTATGAGACCACTTTTATAAAGTAACAGCATAAAGTTTATACACAAGAAAAAGAAAGAAAATAACATTCTTTGATGGTTACCAGGGATGGGAGAGGGAGGGAGGGAAAATTACCAATTAGATAGAAGACAAATGTTAATATTGGTGAAGAGAAAGGCAGTACATAATATGGGAGAAATCAACACAACATAACCAAGGCAAGAGAGGACACTTAGAAAAAGGCAAGGATAAAAGGCAACTATGGTAACTACCATAGCTAAGACAATCCTGCAACAATAGTATTGACAAACAATAATTTATGAATGGATGAACAGGTAGATAGAGACACCAAAAGGTGTGGGAGGGTGTAAAGCAGTACATCCACTGGCAGACACAGGTTTGGCAGTGGATATTTCTACATACATGACTGTAGGTGCAGTTCATATAGAGCACATGGGTACAGTCAAGGAAACCTCTTAGACATAACCAAACACCTTGCGGGATGAAGTTCCTAGGCTAAAAGACAAAGGATCGTAGACTCATGGGACATCTATGTCAACTGGCACAACATAGTTCATAAAGACAATGATTTGCATTCTACTTTGGTAAGTAGAGTCTGGGGTCTGAAAAGCTTGAAAGCGGCCATCTAAGATACAACTATTGGTCTTTTCCCACCCAGAGCAAAGGAGATTGAAGAAAACCAAAGAGTCAAGGGAGCAATTAGTCCAAAGGACTGATGGACCACATGAACCACGGCTTCCACAGCCAACAGCTCTAACTGGGATCACAACAGAGGGTCCTAGACAGAAAGGGAGAGAAATGTAGAATAAAAAATCAAATTTACAAAAAAGACCATACTTACTGATCTGACAGAGACTGGAGGAACCCCCAAGACTAAGGACTTAAGACACCCTTCTGACCTGGAACTGAAGCCATTCCCAGAGACCACCTCCCAGCCACAAAATAGACAAGCATGTAAGATAAACAATAATACCCAAGAGCAACATACTTCTTAGAACAATCAATTATAAGAGATCAAAAGGGCAATATCTGCCCAAAAGCAAAGATGAGAAGGCAGGAAGAAGGGGTAGAAAATCAGGACGAAAGGAAACGAGGAACCCAGGGTAGAAATGGGGAAAGTGCTGACACATTACTGGGAATGAAACCAAGGCCATGAAACACTTTAAGTACAAATTATCAAATGGGAAACTAATTTGTTCTGTAAGCTTTCACCTAATGCACAATTTTAAAAAAGGTTATATTATTTTCTCATTAAACGTGTTCACATATTAGATATAAATTAGATTTAAATCTGGATATCTTTTTATTGCTATTTTTAATGATTTTTCATTGCATCTTCAAGCTATTCTTGGCAAGTGTGTAGATACCCAATTGATCTTTGTATGCTGATCTTATATACAGTAACCTTGATAAAATCTTAGCAATTATTTTCAGTTGAACATGCAGAAAATCAGTTGGTCTACAACTATTTAGAGTTTTGCTTTTTCCTTTCCATTTCTCATATCTTTTATTTCATTTCCTCGTTGCACTCTGAAGACTGAGACTGAAATCCAGAGTTAAATCAAACTGGTGATTAACCAGCATCCTTGTCCTCTTCCCTATTTGAAGGGGAAGATTTTTAATGTTGCACAATTGACTGTC